TAAGATTGCTTTGATTGTTTAAAACAAACGAGGTCCCATTCAAATATAGTTGTCTTTCTACTGTACGTACACCATGGAGGTTCGAATGCGAGGTTCGAATAAAAAATACATTGTGATAAAAGAGATTGTTCTTTACGTTTACATTTTAAATTTAAAGTATTATTTATTATTATTCGTTATTTAATTGTTATTATTATAATTGTAATGCGTTCGTTTATATGAGCCATACCAAAATTTCATTAAAATTAAATGCAGTTACACAGCCTAGACCGACATGTGGCAGTAAAGCAACAGTCATATATACTTTTTGCCTCCCGACGAAGAAGACGGTAAAGGGGCGTTACCTTCTAGTGAAATACAACGCAGGGCTGATGTGCGTCATGACGCCGAATGTTTGACAGAGTTTTGTCCAGACTTATTCCGCTTCTGTATCCATTCACGTAGTAAACGAGATAAGTACGTTACACTGCAGCTCATAGGTAAATCTAATAACACATTTAAACTATGTCTATGGAGCCTGCAACAGAGGAACGTTCTTTTAGATACAATTTCTTGCCAGCTTAAATGCTAAATCTGTGGAGTGCACCTTAGCTATGAGTTGCTTTGTTTTACATTTTCATCCCTAGGTGTCCGAAAAGTTTTCGTTTATCTCCAGTCGTGTGATAGTGAAAATGTGTGGAAGAACCGCTTGCACTCTTGCTCCTGACGAAGTGAGACGGGCCTCCTCCTACAGAGACCGCAGAGGGCGGAGGCGACGGCCGCGCTGGAGGGATGGAGATTCGGACAAATACCAGCCCTCTTACAACAAGAGTCCCCAGTCCATGAGTCCCGTACTGCTGTCCCAAAGACACTTCAATAAGGTTAGAGCTGTGGACGCTAATTAAAAATGTGGTTATGGTGAAGCACGAGACAAGGACATTTCACATGTTCTGTAGGACAACAGGTACAGAAACATTACAGTTAAGTATAAAACACTGCTGTCAGACATTAGACTGTGATTAGAGTGTTTGAGTGAGACATAAACGAATACATCAATTTGGTCTATGTCAATTAGTAAATGTTTTTATTTTCAGGAAGTAGAATTCACTTATAAAACTGGAAAGCGGTACAATATTTGACATTGCTCAGTTAATCTGTAAATCTCTATTTTTCCAGTCAAAATTGGTTTTGGGGCTGCTGAAAGCCAGGGTGCACTCAGATATTAGCTTTAACAGAGTGAGGGGCCTGTTGAAAGTGATCTTCTTAAGATTTATTTATTAAGAGGCCTTAAAAGGCAACTGATTTCTTTAACCGAAGCAGAGGCTTTAAAATTGTAGACAGACAGTGAATCACAAATCGTTGTTCTTGAATACCTGTGTTCTCAGGAGGCTCCTGCAGATAAATGTGTGTTGGCTTTGATGCGTTGGGGTCTTGTACCTGCGTGGTTTAAGGAGAACGATCCAGGCAAGATGCAGTACAACACCAGCAACTGCCGTAGTGAGAATATAATGGAAAAGAAATCGTACAAGGTGTGTACTAATGAGAAACTTTTACTTTCAGTTAATTTTGTTATCATGATTATCTGGTGCAAGTCTCAATGTCCTCTCCAAAGTTTGCCATGCAAAAAGGACAGCGTTGTGTCATCTTGGCTGATGGATTTTACGAGTGGAGGAAGGAGGAGAACAAGCGACAGCCCTTCTTCATTTACTTCCCTCAGACGCCGAAGGAGAAAACCAAGGATCATGACAACCCTGCGAAGCAAAGAGAGGTTTGTTCTGGATTCTTTTGCAATAACGTAAGTGCAGCACACAAAACAAAAGAAGAGAGAATGCAGCCTCAGAGGAAATTGCAATGGCTAAAAACTTCCTGCACATGAGTTGAGCTGAGGCAGAAATGTGCATGTGCCCACCAGGTGTCTGGATGAGGACAGTAAAGTCATAAAGAAGTCCAAATAATTTTCTTCATTTTGACCATTAAGCATCTCTTTGTGTGTTGGCCAGGAAGGGGATGAAGCATGTGTTTGGAGTGGCTGGAGGTTGCTGACTATGGCTGGACTGTTTGACTGTTGGACTCCACCAGATGGTGGAGAACCTCTTTACTCTTACAGTATAATTACAGTGAATGCAGCGCCAAATCTGCAAAACATCCATCATCGGTAAGGACCTCACCAAACACATTTGTGCCAGTCTCACATGGATGTCAAACTCACTCAACAGACCGAAAGTGAAGTCTCACATGGATGACAAACTCACTCAACAGACCGAAAGTGAAAAACTCTCTATGTTGGGGATCAAACAGGATTGACAGTTATTCAAATCTCGTGCTGAGAATACTACTTTGAGTACTTTGATGTTGATGATTGTACGTGGCTCTGTCAACCGAAGTGAGTGTCGTCCATGCAAATTATATATTTTACCCATGTTATAGAATGCCGGCTGTCCTGGACGGGGAGGAGGAGGTGAGAAAGTGGCTCGACTTTGGTGAGGTGAAGGGTCTCGATGCTGTGAAATTGCTCCAGTCAAGAGACACTTTGACTTTTCATCCTGTGTCAACACTGGTCAACAACACCCGCAACAACAATTCAGAGTGTCTTCAGCCGGTGGATCTCACCATCAGAAAGGTTTGAGATTTTCTAGCTTTTTCTTATCCTGAATCAAATCCCAAATCAAATTGCTTTGCAAGTACAGATTTTTCAGCTACCTTATCTGACCTTTCACCCCCTCCCCCACAAGGAGGCCAAACCCACAGCCAGCAGTAAGATGATGACGAGCTGGCTCAAAAGCAGTTCACCTTCAAAGAGGAAGAGGACTGAAGAGGAGCAGGAAACAAAGACAGAGAGTCAGAAGAAGAGAACAGGACTTCAGCAGTGGCTTAAGGGATCCGACAAGAAACCAAGAACCCAGTAAAGAGTCAAACCAATATCTCCAGTAGTTCCAGAGGACCCCTCCTCTTAGCCCTCCTTTTCTCTAGTTAGATAAGAAACCGTTCTGGCCTTTGTGTTTTTGTGCCTGTAAACTTCAACCGAATGAACCTTCACATCTAGATTATTACCATTATCACACTGTTTAAAGACTTTGTTAATAATAACCGAAATAAACAAGTGTTCTTCATTCAAGATTTTTTTTATTACCCTTATTACTTGAAACGCAAAGACATTGAAACAATGTAAATGCAATGCATTTGCCATATTAATAATATAATAATGATGAATGCCAGTAACCCCCGCATACACGTTTTCCTTATTTCAATGTTGTTTGTTCTGCAATCTATAATGCATGTCAAAGTTATACCATGAACAGACTGGTTAGATGTCAAGCACTGCCAACATGAGCCGATGGCAGAGTCAGGTGTGGAGATTTACATTACAACAATTAGCCGTCGCCCTAAACAATCAACAGTTTTGCAAATATACAAAGTCTTGCGGTAGCAGACAGTAAAAAGAAGCAATAGTACTCGATGAATATTTATTGTATACTTGAGAAGAAAAATAATTCCTCCTGCTCCCCTGGACAATCAGGTAAAATGAGATGCTGAGATAATTTGGTATTGAGAATAACTGAAGACAAGACAAAGCATTTCTCCCACAGCACTGTGCTCTCAGAGTGGGATCCAGGCTTTGCTACAGCTGCATTCATTGTCACGAGTTAATAAAAAAATGACACCCACTAGTGTAACGTACTGTTCAATTAGCTATACTTTTAACTCTATGCCCTTTCTCGTGAAACAATATGCAGTGTAGTAATTGCTCGTGTAGCAATTTTATTTTTCTAAAGATTGCACAAGGTAAAGTTAAATTGTCAAGTGTTAGAGGGTGAGGCAAATAATAGGGGAACAGAGGTGGGTGTTTTCTCGACTGATGCAGCAGTGGTGTTGGTGACCCGTGTTCAGACCTGCCACCAACATCTGCTCTGAGTCATTTGATTGCATATGAAAAAACAGCACTGGAGCATATCATGACACCACCTGCTCAGTTGCTTAATGAGCTCCGTAGAGATGTATATACACTGATGCTGACTGTACACGTGTCTCTGTTGGTATGGTGGCTGTGAGAAGAGGAAATGAAAGTGGAAAGAAAGAAGAAAAGAAATATAACCACAGGGGAAACAGAGCATTCAATACTGCTATGAGTTAAAATTCAGAAAGAAAAAGTGCATGTGACAACTAGGGTGAACATCCTGGTGGTGGCTACAAAGAAACAAACAAATGGGCACAGTGAAGTGCAAGAAAAAGTGCAAATCTGCAGCAGGTATGAGGAGGGCAGCTGAGATGGCGCTCACTATTCTGTTCTGGTACAGATTGCATTCATGCAGACTGAGGAATGCGGCCACATGGTGCTCAAACCAACTCCAAATGTAATTTAATTTCAGCTACAAGAAACCATCCATAGAGTGTTTATACCTGCAGAGTTAGCCGAGAATATGAGATCAGATCAGCAAGGTCTGAACAGGATCCAAGTAAACATCCACCACTGCTGAAGAGGCTATGATATTATAATAAAAAAAAAATACAATTGTTTTGTCCATGATTTTTCATTAGCACAAACAAATATAAAGATAGTATTTCAATCTAACAAATATGTTTCCAAATAAAAGCAGATCAGATTCAACACAGGGTGTGATGACAGCAGCAGTAATGTACATGTAACTGAAGATGAGATTGGCCCAAACCACCACTGCTGTAAATGAGGGGAGGGTGGAGAAAACGTAGGTGGCGAAAATTGTACAAAAAAAAAAAAAAAGCAATGTTTCCACAACACGTTCTTTGGGCTAAGGGACTGGTGCTTATAGAAAATGGGTGACAGGTATTTATAAGGATGTGAGCGCAGCATGTCTGTGTGTGTGGTAATAATATACTCTATGAGTGGGATGTCACTTGTACTGTATTGTTCGGAATCAAGGATTAACACAGTGGGTGATGGGAAAAAGGGGGATATATAGACAAGGCAAGACAGGGTGGTGAGGACAAAAGGTGATCAACCCCCCTCCTCCCCACACCCCATAATGATGATGATGATGATGATCCTCAGAGTTCTCAGCAGCTGCAGGGCTCTGCAGACGGCTTGGCTCGTTCGTTCCTGTCCAGCTTTATGGGCTCGGGAAACTCGTTGTACAGCTCCACCTCAGTCTCCTGAAACCAGACAGTGTTTTGGTCAGTGCTCGCGTTATCTAAAGCTATTCAGCTAAATCTAAATTGTTACATTTTGATTCATTTTCTAAGAAATTATTTTGTCTCTTGTAGCATTGTTAACTTAAACTAAGTATGTGCATGTCTTTTTTACAGAGTCACATGATTAGGGTTTACAACCAACAATAATGTACCAAAACCCTGGATAAATGAAGAAGTGCATTTAATCCTATTAACAGCAACTCCTGCATGGGGTCGCTTTGTGTTTTTCAACAATGTCTCTGCAATCAGCACTCTTCGCTGTAAAAGAGTGACATACAACTACAAAGAATGTACAGAACTCTGAGTCATGGCTGTAAGTAGTATAAAATCACTGATGAGAAAACGCTCATGTGTTGCCTGATTTCTGTCACACACATAATGCTGCAGCTAACATCAATTCAACATGAAAGTTTAATTGCAAGCTTTTTTTATGCAGGGCTGATGTCTGTTTGGATCATGACACAGCAGTCACCTGGCTACAGTCCAGTGTTTACTGGTGTTGCTTAACCCAAGTGACATTAACTCATACTCAAAACAGTACAACAATGTACCACTGTGTACTGACAAATGTGTAACACCCCTATCCCCCCCAAAGACCAGAGGAAAAAGTGGTTGCTATAATTTTCCAGCTGTCCTCCTGTTACCTGTTTAAGAGCATTGCGTGCAATAGTCTGGAAGGCCTGCTCCACGTTGATTGCCTCCTTAGCGCTGGTTTCAAAATATGGGATGTTGTTCTTGCTCTGACACCAAGCCTGTGCTCTCTTGGTTGTGACCTGAAACACAAAGAACGACTGTTAAAAGTAGAAAATAAAGAAATTGTGTGTCCATGTAAGTGCCTTTTTCTTACTACTTAATTTAACTGCAAACGCACATTTCCTTAAATAAAACATAAGCTACAAAGAGTGGGGACTAATAAAATGTGATGACTAAAGTTTTGAAGAAAAACAGAACTAAAACATCAGAGATGGAGGAGCCTGCGGAATTATAGGACATACAATACAAAAATAGTGACAGAAATGAGGTTCTGATTCCACCTGTCTGTTCTCCAAGTCAATTTTGTTGCCAAGCACCACAAAGGGGAAGTTCTCCGGGTCTCGAGGGCTGGCTTGGATCAGGAACTCATCCCTCCAACTGTCAAGGGTCTTGAAGGTGTTGGGCGCAGTCACATCAAAGACCAGAACACAACAGTCTGCTCCACGGTAGAACGCAACACCTAAGGACTGGAACCTCTCCTGACCTGCTGTGTCCCAAATCTGAGGTACACAAGAAATTAAAGACAAGGCATAAAGAAGAAGAAGGAGCTTGTGCCAATTGTGCGACCTATGTATTAATATATATGTTACGTTTGTTTTTTTCACACTGACAGCCACTAGAGGGCACTGGTGTGACTTATACTCCGTAACAACATACATATATATTCTCTTCATTTCCTGACTGGTGCGACTGATAGTCTGGAAAATATGATTAGTGTAACAGTGATTTATGTAAAAAGAGGCAAAAATCAATAAAAAATGCTTTTCTTAAAAAGATTTGTAAAAAGAAAAACATTTAATCAATGAAAACTATTAACTAGCAAGGGTACTCAGTGTGACTATGGAACAATAAGGATCACTGGTAATTATTTCTTTCCTTTTCTTTGTATTCTTGTGTTTGTTTTTTGATATGATAAAAGGTGTTTCAATGAGAGAGGGATTCCTGTGGGAAACATTTCATCATTACCTGCATTGTGACAAGTCTGTCGTCAACCATGACTTCTTTTGTGAGGAAATCAGCTCCTATTGTGGCTTTGTACTGGTTACTGAACTTCTTATTCACATACTGGTTCATCAGTGACGTCTTCCCAACTCTAGATAAAAAACAAAACGTGCCTCTGTTTACAATGGGACACCTGTAATTGCCTTTATGTCATCTACCCAAATATCAAATATAGAAAAGTACTCAACACTCCTCACCCAGAATCTCCCAGGATGATGACTTTGAGTAGTACTTTCTTCCTTGACGTCATTGTACCACAACTGAGAGACAACAAAACAGATTATAGAAGAAAATGGGAATTTATTTTGAGAAACTGGCCAAAGCTGCTCAGAAAGGATTAATACAGCCCTGCCCATGTTGAACCTCTTGATATTGGCCAACTGTTTTGACTGAAAGATGATAGGCTCTGTGAGCATCTTAAAATACACTCCAAAGTTCTAGGAATGAAACTAAGTGCTAGTGTGGTATATTAGATTCCTTCCATTTATAACCAAAAAAACCAAAAACAAAACAAAAACCAATAGGCATGTATCGGCAACACATGTAGGAGTACTAACAATATGAGTGACAAGGAATGATGCAACAGTTAAATACATGTTTTCAATAAAAAAAAAAAGAACATTGAGGCAGATGAGTTCCCATCTGGTAACTGGTGATGGTTTCACTTTAGACCACTAACATTATACTGCTGACATGACAATGTATTAAAAAAATGTTGTTGGCACAATTTTTTTGTTCATTATTTTCTAAAATGTATTTTTCTCAAGTTTTAGTATTACATTTATAGATTTATTAAACTGAAATACTACAGTTCCGTGTTTTTATATCTGTCACTCTCGAACCCTGAACTTTTGCTGCTTCAAGTGGACTACCTCAAGACAGGATGATTAAATCTATGCCTGGTAAATATCTGAAGATCTTGGTTTCAGATAGCAAATCGCAGTGACTTTACCAAGATGTCTGTTGGACTGATAAACCAATATCTGCAAATGTGACATTCTCCATCTGATAGTTTCTGTAGTACCTTTTATATTAAATAATTAATTAAATTAATAATTTAACGTTTTCTTTTATATGTTTTTATATTACATAGATCAAAAACATCACATAGCTATTTAACTAAGAGACAACTAAGCCTCAGATTGACTGTGCTGTACTTCGTGTTTAGTAATCATAAACCACCTACTACAGTTGCACTGGTCAAAGTTCACCGTTTTTATTAAGTGTCCAAAAACATTAGTTTAAGCCCGGATGGAATAAGAAGAAATCATTCGTGAGATAATAAGAAATAAAAGATTTATCCACACATAACTGATTTTGAATAAAACATTGATCGTCTTAATAAAGGATTTTTTCCACTTGTTTGACTCCGTATCAGAGCTATTGTAAAGCAAATGTGGCATAATCTTCACCCCATGACACTGTGTCAGGAACTGATCACATGGTTTAAAACACAGGACTAACGGAACCATGACTTGGCAAGCATGATTAGCATAGCAAGTTAAGGTTTAACACACATAAAATGTACAATATAAGAGGCTCAGGTCAATCTGTTAACGTCCCTGAAAATGTACGCTAATATATCATAAAAGAATAATATACAATATGATCATTGCAAATGGAAATGCTACCGAAACAGCTTAGCATGCATGAATATGTGGCAACTAATACAGTGGTTTATAATCCTCATTGACAATATCGTTATACTTTTAATAAGACTTCTTAAATAAAAGCTGTTTTAAATCGCAAAAATGCGTTATAAATGCAGGAATGGATTTAAGCTAACATTTGGTTAATAATTGGGATTTAGTTTTAAATAAAACTAAGACAACAGCATGTTTCGTTTACGAACAAAAAATATCATTAAGGAATCATAAACTTACCTGACAGAAGATGCTTAGTTTTAAAAAATAAATATCAAAGGTGGTTCTTTTCTTCTGACTCGGTTGATAGCGTTAGCTAAGGCGCAGGCTAATGCTGTGCAGTTAGCAGTGGCCGTAAATGTCTGCCGTTCACAAAACAACACGTCTACAGCCGATATGTTTTTCTCTGTCCGCTCACACTCACAGCTCGCCGTGCGGGTCAAAATTAACGGAGCAGCTGTCGCTCTCTGTGACGCCTCTCTGGCCTATGTGTGGGTGACAGCGAAGAATCAGTACAACTGCAGTTGAATCTTCGCTTTTCCTCCCGTCAGGCTAACGCGTTAGCAGCTACAGTTCGCCTGCACTTCCTCCAAAACAAGCTGCGTCGTTGGGCGCTGACGTAACACGCAAAATACGCCCAACAGCACGGGAACCAGGGGAAAGGCGTTTTAAAGGTTAATGTTTTTTGTTTTTCTAATCTAACGTTTATAACATTAATATTGTCCTTGTGTATAATGTGGTTCTAAAAAGACAGTAAATGATTAATGATCATGAAATTAATGAGGTATATACGTATATATATAACTGTCACACAATATATAATCCATAGTTGAATTTTCCCAAGGGAGCTTGGCCCCAATATGTTGTCAGATGAAATTCACCTTTCAGAGGACCATTATATTTGTCTTCATACAAAAAATCAGTATTTTCTCCCTCAAATGTTAGTAAACTGTTACCATTTCCAATGTTAGAAAAAGTACGTTTTAATTGTCTGCATGTTAGATATTTTAGATGAGTGATTCTGACTAGACCTAATTTAACTTAATTTAAGCGCCAATTCAACAAACACTCACTGTGACATACTAAGAATTATTTTGTATTGGTATGACCATGGTTTCTTCATATTCATATTTCAAATTTAAGTTTGCCTTCTAAATTTTCTAAAATTGCAGTGGGGTTTATGTGAATTTTATGGAGTAGTTGCTCAGTACTAGCGACCTCTGCCGGATAGATTAGGCTATTACTGATGTTTTAAAAACAATATTAAAGAATAGAGCAAAACCTCTCAAGGCAATTGTTTAAGCTTAAGTGTATCCTAAAACTGTATTAAAGTGTATCCTAGCTTTGTGGTGACTTGCTGTGGGTTGCTGTGATTTCACAGAGGCAGACGAAGAGCAAACCAGAGTAACCAACCAACAGCTGCCGTGAAAGCGCGCACTGACGTCATCGCGTCGGACAGAATGTAGCGTCATCCTTCTCTAATGTAGAGCGGCACAGTGGCCTTTCATTGCTGCTCTGCCTCAGCTTTTCTCTTCCACACCTTTGAAATCAAACAGTTTAATTATGACCGTTAAGATGCATATACTTGCCGTTTGCCTGCTTTTCTTAGCTGCAGTGAGCTCCGGGGTTTCAGCGGACGGTTTGGTTAATGAGGATGTTAAGAGAACAGTCGATCTGAGCTCTCACCTGGCCAAAATCACCGCGGATATTGTGTTGGCCAACAAGGGGCATTCCGGTGTCCAGAGCTTCATACTTGCTGTCGAGGAGGACCTGGCCCCGCACCTAGCTTACATCGGAGCATCGGTGAGCTCAACATTAATTGATTACATTGATTAATAAAGCAACCGTAGTAGAGCTTGTTAGCGGCGTTAGCCTGTTAGCAACCGCTCCGTATGAGCAGCACAACATGAGCACATAACTTCTTATGTTGTGCATTGGACACAAATGTGCAACTTTTGTTTGAAGTACACAACTTATGAAAGTTTATTGAATATACATACACAACAGACGGGTGAGTTAGTAAGTGCTAGCTAACTGCTGCAGGCAGCAGCCGGTGGTAAGGGTATCTATTAGCTCTAATGCTAAAAAGCGCAGTTCATTTACTTGCTATCAATGGATTTAAATGCAACTGGAAGTTTGGTTCGCATGAGAGGACTTCATAGTTGATTTGGATGTTATTGCGTTAAAACGATAACTTCCGTAGCGCTGCACATGTTTCCTCTCTGTGTCAGTTTCTCAGTGGCTGAATGACACGTATGCGCTGGCCAGATCACTTCCGTGTGTGACTGGGCATGCCCGTCCTATTCAATGAATGAAGCCGAGCCACAGCGTCCTAATTTGGACGAACTGAACTGTTTCTCGTATAACACAGTTAATAACTCGCGTAAAAACAGTGTAACTATTTGCTGTATTAGATTCTGCGAGGGTTTGCGGAACCATCTACGGTGCAATCATAACATCCGGAGAGTTTGATTGATTAAAAAAAGACCCAAAGTGATCCGCATGAGTGAAATGTAAGGTTAAATTCACATGTGAAACCTAACGGTACAATACTTGCATAATCAATTGAGCACAAAAGGCATTAAATGGCATAAAGACAAAGACATCTATGTCCACAACTGTCTTCATCTTTGTGGATACATACACATATAATACCATGAAACTTCTTTCCTGTTCTAATTAGACGTTACATTTCCTTTAGATTAATTTGAAATAGACTGTGCACTGAACATGATTGTTTCTACAGGTTAAGGGTGATGAAGAGGAAGATGATGGCATGCTTGAACTGCAACAGACAACAATTAAAGGCCAAAGGTGAGAAACTGTTCTAATGTCTTTTAAAGTGATTCTTAAGGGAAATGGAAAATCTAAAATGTAAACAGAAAGTGTATCCACATCCTTACATGTTTTGTTTGTCCAAAAACAAATGCATAACTTTTGTGAATTGTCAGTGCGAACTAAATGTTGACATTTATCTTCTGTCATCTTTTCATGGAAGCGGGGACTTTTACAAAGTACAGCTGCATTCCACACTGGCAGCTGGTGCTCAGCTGAAAGTCAAGGTGGAGATGACGTTCAGCCACGTCCTGAAGCCTTTCCCATCTCAAATCACCCAGGCTGAGCGTCAGCTGGTGGTGTTTCAGGGAAACCACTACCTGTTCTCTCCGTACCCCACCCGCAGCCAGACCACGCGTGTCCGTCTGGCTTCTAAAACTGTGGAGAGCTATACCAAGCTGGGCGGCCCCAGCAAGAACGATGAAGTCATTGAGTACGGACCGTTCCGTGATGTGGCTCCATTCAACGAGGTGGGGCTCTAACTCGGGTCTTTATATTTATTTAACTTTGCCCTTTCCAGTGTTAGGTCTTCAAGACTTTTAAGTTGTTAAAGATTTGGCAGCATTTTTCACTGTGGTACTTTTAAACCTAGTTATTCTTGTTCTACAGACTTATCCAAACAGTCAGTGTTCATTTTTCACATGTATTAAAATGCGTTGTTTTCTGTCACTGCTCAGGACACAATGAAAATCCATTATGAGAACAACACACCGTTCCTCACCATCAGCAGCATCACCCGCATCATTGAGGTGTCTCACTGGGGCAACATTGCTGTGGAAGAGACTATTGATCTGAGGCACACAGGAGCCATCCTGAAGGGACCGTTCTCACGCTATGATTACCAGCGTCAGTCAGACAGTGGCATCTCCTCTGTCAAATCCTTTAAGGTGATCACTTACAAACAATTCTTACCTGCTGTGGTGGTCATTTACAGATTTATTTATTAACAATTGAGAGGATGATAAAAGTGACTAAAGTGCCTCCTTTATCTAACAGACCATCCTCCCAGCCTCAGCCCAGGATGTCTATTACAGAGATGAGATTGGGAATATCTCAACCTCACACCTGCAGGTTCTGGAAGACTCCGTGGAGGTGGAAGTCAGGCCTCGCTTTCCCTTGTTTGGAGGCTGGAAAACTCACTACATCATTGGCTACAACCTGCCAAGCTATGAGTACCTTTACACCCTTGGTGGGTTGATGTCGATGACTCTCATTACATTATTTTTATCTTTTATCCTTGCACATACATTTACGGACATAATGCAGAACCACAATACCCAGCTGGCAACGGGTGCAGGCATCCTCAATTGGGCAAATGCCATCGTAAACAATAACCG